TAAACCCTAAGCCCTAAACCCTAAACCCTAAACCCTAAACCCTAAAAAAACTCTAAACCCTAAACCCTAAACCCTAAACCCTAAACCCGAAGCCCTAAACCCTAAACCCTAAATAAACTCTAAGCCCTGAGCCCAAAGCCCTAAACCCTAAACCCCAAAACCACAAACCCCCTAAGAAGCCCAAAGGCGGAGTCCTCCGCTGCGCGCATCACGGCGACCCCCAAGCCGCCATCAGCGTGTGACCCCACCTCCAAGCCAGGGGCTTTAGGCTTTTAGGCTTTTAGGGCTTTCAGGGTTTAGGGTTGAGGGTTTAGGGCTTTAGGCTTTTAGGGTTTTGGGTTGAGGGTTGAGGGTTTAGGGTTTAGGGTTGAGGGTTTTAGGGTTGTGGGGTTTAGGGTTTGGGGTTTAGGACTGAGGGTTTAGGGTTTAGGGTTCAGGGTTGAGGGTTTAGGGTTTAGGGTTTAGGCATTCCCAGGGACTCCAAAACGCCTAAATTAAGGAACACACCTGAAATCACATGAGGGGTCCAAGTATGATTTAAGGTATACCTTGAGAACCCTGAACCCAGTTTTTTGTAGGTTCTTATCGTAAACCCTAATATGGGATTGATAGGGACCCTACAAAAAAAGTAGGTTTTGGGTTCTTAAGGTATATTCCTAAACCCTAAAAACCTTAACCCTAAACCCTAAACCCTAAACCCTTAATTAAGGCGTTTTGGAGTCTCTGGATTTTTTGGAGCAACATCTTCCGTTCGCCACAGAATCTGCTTTTCAGGGAAGCTCCTTTCGGAACAGGTGCCAAGCTTTAGGCTCTAGAGGTTCGGGTTTAGGGTTCGGGTTTAGGGTTTAGGGGTGCTGAGCTTTAGGCTCTAGACTGTCGGGTTTAGGGTTACAGTTTAGGGTTTAGGGTTCAGAGTTTAGGGGCTTAGGGTTTCGGGTTCAGGCTATGGAGCTTAAGGTATAGTGCTTTGGGGGCTTTGGGTTTTACAGTTTTGGAGTTTCGGGTTTAGCCTTTCGGGTTTATATAGTTTCGGGTTTAGGGTTTAGGCACAAAGAGCTGCAGAAGCCTGAATCATTACCAACATGATTCCTTCAGTTCTTAGGTGTGCACGAAAATCTCTACCAAAAACGACCAAGGCCTCTACGGTAACGACTTGTGTCCCTGTATTACAACTTTCCTGCTTCTCAAGAATATGTGTGTGTATATATATATATATAAGTTTAGGGTTTAGGGTTTAGGGATTAAATACTGTAATACATGCATAGGGTTAGAATTAAGTGTTGAGGGTTGGGGCAGGGTCGGGGTTCAGGGCATGGCAACCTTAGGCATACTTGGACAAAAAATCCAAGCTTTGGCGTGTTCCGACTGGTAAAGTAACCGACCGGAACCCCCAGAACCCTAGCCAAAAAAATTGGTTAACCTTTTCAGTTATAGTAGGATTATATAAGGCCCAAAAGGTTATAAAGGTTACCTACTCAGCTCCTAACTAATACTGAGCGGCTATTATATACTGTGTTTGCTAACCCTCAAACCCTAAACTCTAAACCCTAAACCCTAAACCCTAAGAACAGAAGTAGACACCGTGGGCAAAGTTCCGGGCACTTGGTCGGGACACTGGAGCCGGCGAGCTGCGCGTCTTCCGCCGGGTCACACCCCGCTCCGAGGGCGAAGAACTTCACAAAGTCGTAGGGTTTTAGGGTTTAGGGTTTAGGGTTTTGGGTTTAGGGTTCGAGGTTTAGGGTTTAGGTTTTAGGGCTTAGGGGATTCCCGACAGCTGAGGGGGTGCCGACATGAAGGCGGGCGACGGCAGATCTGCTGGATCTGCGGCGTTCGCCTCCTCATAGAAAGCAACCCCGTCCATGGTCAGGGCCACACAGATGTCCGCATCCCAGGAGGTCGTCGCGGGAGTGGAGCGTGCCGTAGTGACGAAGTCTTCCCATTCTTGCCATGTTCGGGACGGCTCTGTCTCAGTCCATTGCTTTCCAGAGATGTCCGGGGTATTCATCGTCATCCATGGCCACACCTTTGAAACAGACCTTTGCAACACGAAGCTGAGGCACCCAATGTCGCGCAGATGTTCAGCCGATGGGTCTTTGCTCTGAACCTTGGCTGTGACTCGAAAGGCCGCGCCATAAACCCTAAACCCTATATCCTAAACCCTAAACCCTAAACCCTAATAGCCTAAACCCTAAACCCCTAAACCATAAACCCTAAACCCTAAACCCTAAACCCTAAACCCTATACCCTAAATTTTATACCCTAAACCCTAAATCGTAAACGGCCATTCAGCTTAGCCCTGCTAGGGCAGTGGGCCTCACTGCCTTCAAGAGCGCTTGCAGCTGCGACCGCTGGGTTCTAGGCATCAAGCTGCATTCTTAAGATAGCTTCGGTTTAGGGCTTAGGGTTTCGGGTTTAGGTTTTAGGGGTTAGGGTTCAGGGTTTAGGGGTGAGGCACCGAAGTTTACTACTACTACTATTACTACTACTACTACTACTACTACTACTACTACTACTACTGCTGCTACTGCTGCTACTGCTGGACCCTTGGAAAGCCTCTCAAGAACACCCCAATCTCAAACCCCAAAACCCCTAAACC